ATTCTGGACCTGGAAAACAAGACAAGACCATTACCGGGGTACTAGGAACAGGACAGACACACAAAACATGCACAATGGCAAGAACCAGGACAACACCTGACAAAGAACAAGAAACGCAGATAGGCACACCAAGAAAGGAGACACCGGGGGAATACCAACTGGAGGAACAGAGGGACCATGAGTGAACGTAGGAAAAACAAAGGGATGAGGGGCAGACACAGGAGGCAAGAAGGAGAAAGGCGGGGGGAAACGGGGAGCCCAAGGGAACCTCAGCGGGCAAGAGGTAGTCGACGCAGGGGCAGCAGGCGACTGCGAGGGGACCTCATAGGGGGCGAGGAGGCCAACGGAGGGACAGGCGGAGGAGGCGAGGAGGAAGTCAGAAGGGAATCCGGCAGAGAAGAGGAGGGAGGTGAAGCCGCAGCAAGTGATGGCGCAGCCACAGCTGGCAAAGGTGCAGCAGACCAACGAGTTGGAGTAGGGGGACTCGCAGGTGACCAACGAGCCGAAGCAGGGGGAACTGCAGGCAACCGATGAGCAGGAGCCGGCAGACTCATAGGCGCCTCACAAGCCACCGCCCTAGAGATCGAGGGTGAGCCAGGGGGCCGGGCAGGTGGGACACGACCCCAGCGCATGTGTCCTCTCCCTTTCCGGGAGACTGAAAGGTGGGAACCTGGCCGGGATCTGTCCTGCTGTGGCAGTGGTGGAGGAGTCATTCCTCCAGAAGGGTCCAATGAGGCCACTAGGGAAACCCCGAGGGGTCCCATTCAAGCTCCTCTTCCTGCAAGGGGAAAGGAACGGTGGTCTTGTAGTCCGGGACCTCCTCGGGGCCAGGAACTGGGGGCTTCGGAGCTGGTGGTGCAATAACTGGGTCAGGAACCGAGGGGGACTGGAGCTATTGTGGGCAGAGCAGGGATGGGTGTAGTCGGAACATCAGGTGTGGATGGAGCCAGAACCTCAGGCAGTGGAGGTACAGGACCCTCACAGGGCGGCACATCAGCCACTGGCACAGGGGCCTCGCAGGATGGAGCGTCAGCTGCTGGCGCAGGAGCCTCTGTGGGCGGCGCATCAACCACCAGGACTGGAGCCTCTGTGGGTGGCACATTAGCCGTCGGGACTGGAGCCTCTGTGGGCGGCATGCCAGCCGCCGGGACTGGAGCCTCTGTGGGCGGCGTGCCAGCCACTGGGACTGGAGCCTCTGTGGGCAGCGCGTCAGCTGCCGGGACTGGAGCCTCAGAGGTATGCACCACGGGGACCGGAACCTCAGGAACACGCAAGTTAGGCAGATCAGGAACAGGCAGGTCAGGCGGATCAGAAACAGGCAGGTCAAGCAGATCAGAAACAGTGGGCATTGACCAGGTTTGCGTGTCAGTAGCAGGCGTTGCCCCTTTCAGGACCTTCGGGACCCGCAGGATTGCATCCCTTACTGACCTGGCCCCTTTAAGAGCCAAGCTGCCGGTTCTGGCAGCAAAGGAGCGGGCAGGTGCGTCGCATTCCTAGGCTGCATGGCGACGTTGATGCGGGCTTCGGGCACCCGCTTGTGCAAAGCGGCGCTGGTGACGTCAGGGGTGAACACTGCCGGGTCGAGAATCGTAAGGGGTGTCCTCTGACACCTGGCAGGGGAAACAGCGGAGCACTTGGTAGCCCCTAGGAAGATCCCTGGTGTGTCTTTCTGTTCTCGGAGACCATGCCGTTTTCTCCTTCCCCTGGTTTTCGGTGAACTTCGGGGCACTCTGGGTAGCAGGCTGAACGTTAGCCCGCTGTCAATGTTCACCTGCCGCTGCATTGCTTCAGCGGCTCTCTCTTGAAGCCACCAGAGGTTTCCAGGGTATCACGGCTTCGGTACACTAACCCGTGAGCCGCAGGATCCTCCTGGATCTCAGGCTGGATTAGCCAGTATAATACCTTGTCCATGAGGGGACGTCAGGACGAGGTACTCCTCTTCTGTGAGGTCAGGCGCTTTATTCAAGAAAGTCCAACAAGTGCCAGGACCATCTCCTAAAGTTGATTCAGCTGCAGGATCGGAACACCACCAGTGCAGAGCTTGCTCAGGAATTGCAGCAGGCAGGTGTGAGTGCATCTGCATGCACAGTGACGCAACGATTTTGGAGGATGCCCTGGTGTCAAGAAGGACAGCAAAGAAGTCACTTCTCTCCAAGAAAAACAGCGACAGACTGATATTTTGCAAAAGGTATAGGGATTGGACTGCTGAGGACTGGGGTGAAGTCATTTTCTATGATGAATTCACTTTCCGATTGTTTGGGGCATCCAGAAAAAAGATGAAAAGGTGAGCGCTACCATCAGTCCTCTGTCATGCTAATAGTAAAGCATCCTGAGACCATTCATATGTGGGCTTGTTTCTCAGCCAAGGGAGTAGGCTCACTCACAATTTTGCCTAAGAACTCAGCCATGAATAATGATGGAGCACTATGCCATAAGGCAAAAGTATTAACTGAGTGGCTCTGGGAACAAAACATTTTGGGTCCATGACCAGGAAACTCCCCAGACCTTAATCCCATTGAGAACTTGTGGTCAATCCTCAAAGAGGCTTCCGGATTTGGCCCAGAAGTTGATTGACAGCATGCGAAGGTGAATTGCAGATGTCTTGAAAAAGAAAGGCCAACACTGCAAATATTGAGTCTTTGCTTAAACTTAACGTAATTGTCAATAAAAGCCTTTGACACTTATGAAATGCATGTAATTATACTTTAGCATACCATAGAAACATTTGATAAAAAGATTTAAAACACTGAACCAGCAATATAATAAATAAATTGCAAATATTTTGGTAACACTTTTTATGAAGCTCATATTCATAATGCCTAATGATTACTCTTATATGTCTATATGGCATGGTGGTGCGGTGGTTAGCACTGTTGCCTCACACCTCTGGGACCTGGGTTTGAGACTCCGCCTGGGTCGCATGTGTGTGGAGTTTGCATGTTTTCCCCGTGTTGTCGTGGGGTTTCCTCCAGCTACTCCGGTTTCTCCCCACAGTCCAAAAACATGCTGAGGCTAATTGGCGTTGCTAAATTGCCCTTAGGTGTGCATGTATGAGTGAATGGTGTGCAAGTGTACCCTGCGATGGGCTGGCCCCCTGTCCAGGGTTGTTCCCTGCCTCGTGCCCGTTGCTTCCAGGATAGGCTCCAGACCCCCCACGACCCAGTAGGATGAGCGGGTTGGACAATGGATGGAATGGATGGATGGATGGTCAATATACAGGACTATAATGTGTTATGCCTTTTTATGAATAGTTATAGCCATATGTATAATATTTTATGAATGTATTATAATGCATTATGAAGGTATGTGTAATGTAATATAATGACTGTTTTAAGTAAAGCGTTACCAGTATTTTTTCCTAGAAGGGTAGTGCGTGGATCATTGCGGAGGTGAATATGCACTTTGTTTTCCATCTAATGTGAATAATATCGATGTTTTATGGATTATTAGGGGTACTTTTTCGTGGAAAATGTTTAAAATATATGCCTCATGAAGTTCCACCATCAGATGGACCCTCCTCTCCAGTAACCCAGCATAGGTCTTCCCAGGCCAGCTAAGGAGTGTGATCCCTTTGAAGTTAAAATACACCCTCCAGTCCACTTTAAAGGTTAACATCCCTCCTGAGTTACTTGACAGTCTGCCAGAATCACCTCAAGGCTGACTGAAAGTCAAAATTCATGGCCTCTTCAATGTCCTCCCACTCTCAAGTTTTTAGTTATGCATCTGCCAATGCTGTATTCTGCTTGGCCTACTGCTGCCTGTCAGCTCCTTCCAGAGTACTACAAGTTAATCAATCTTGGAAGGCCTGACAAATCCCTTTACCGCTGGTGTCCACCACCAAGTGTGGGGGTTGCCGTAATGACCAGCACCAACAATTTAACAGCTACAGCTATGCACAGCTGCCTCAGCAATGAAGGCCTCCCTCTGAATGCAAGGGAAGTTCTGCCAGAGGTGTGAGTTCAAGATCTCCTGGAAGATCTCTCTGCCAGATACTCCCAACATACCTTCCCTATGCTTTCAGGTCTACCAGGTCTCTCTCGCAATTTTCTCCACTGTCTCATCCAACTCACCACCACATGGTGATCAGTTGACAACTCAGCTCCACTCTTCACCCAAGTGTCCAAGACATATGGTTTCAAATCAAATGATACGACTATAAAATCGATCATCCAGCTACAGCCTTAGGCGTGCTGGTGCCAGATGCACTTATGAACACCCTTATGCTCAAACATCGAGTTTGTTTGTTCCAGGGGATGTGCAGGTATGGGGAAAAAACAGAGAACTACGTTTGGGGTCGAGGCAGGCCTATTTTGAAATTGCATCTTTTAGAAATACTAAAAATAATGCAAACACATTATATGCCTATTCACATTATATGACAGTAACAAGTTTAAATATTTTAATTTTCTCTAATACTTAAAGTTTTTTGGGTCTATGTGTGGGGGGCAGCAGGATCAGGACAAATATATCAGGCCTAATAGGGAACTGTCAAAAAGAATTTGAATACCACTTGTCTAATCTAATATTTAGTGCATAATGACAGACCACTGTGAGAGCCCGTCCCCCAACTCGAAGTTGAAGGGAGGCGACCCTCCCCTTCACCAGGGTGACCTCCAGCCTACTGGTGTTGAACTGGGGGCTGTGAGTAGACATACATACCCTGAATTTAAGCATGGTTAGGTCATGTACAGTAAGTGTGCTGCCAGCACGAAGGGTCTTCCTTCATCAGTGTGAAACTGCGCTGTCACCTTGCTGTGGTGGTGTGTGAACAGTGGAGTAGATAACTAATGTGTACTTCCTCCTGCCCCCATAGCTCATGTCAATAGTAGCCCACCTAACTGTGGGCACAGTTAAGGCTGCATTACGTAATTTTTATATCATCTAGTGATTCATTTTGAATATATCCATGAGTAATTCTGCTTGTCATTATTGGAAAACACATCATCCTATAGTATGGTCCTGTTGTCTTGTGACCGTGTGATGCTGCCTCTTTCCTACAGTCATCTTGGACACGCTAAGTGTGACATCCCACTCACAAGCGCTCAGCAGGGTGGAGGGCGACTCACTGCAGCTGAACTGTGAGGTGAGCCGGCAGACGCTGCAGCACAGTCATCTGTCAGTGGGTTGGTACCTGCGTGCTGAGCCCAGCACCCCGCCCCTGGACCTGCTTACGCTGTCCCGCGACTTCGTGCTCCGCGCCGGCACCCCCTACAAGCAGCGCTTTGCTTCTGGAGACCTCCGCCTGGACAAGATGGGCAGTACAGCCTACCGCCTCACCATCCACCGGCTGCAGCCTGCCGACCAGGGCCTGTTGTACTGCGAGGCATCCGAGTGGATCCAGGACCCTGACCGCTCCTGGTACTCCATGACCCGGAAGCAGTCGGAAAAGACTCCGCTCAAAGTGCAGCCCGCAGGTATGTCAATGGGTATACAGAAAGCAGGTCAGGCATCCACAGGAATGCTGGATCAGAACCAAGAAGCAGAAAGTTCCTGACCTAAATCTGCAGAGTGTCTTGCACAAGGTCAGTCATGTGGAAGGTAGTGCCTCATGGGTTTTTGTCTCTAGGTCCACTGTGGTAAGAGACACAGTGCCACCTACAGGCTTCTTCCTTTCTTGCTTTGTGCAGACACATAAAGGCTCCCTGGGAAGGAAAGCACCGTGTCTTTAACCCCATTCACCGTGTATCCCATAGACAGCTCTGACAATAAAAACATACACAGTTGCAGATCTGTTCTTGCAGCTTCAGCTCATAGCATTGCCCTGTTCCTGTTTACAGGGAGTCCACACATAGACACTGGAAGCTCCACACAGGCAAACCCCCAGGTAACTGGTTCGTTATATGGCCAGTTTCACACACAGACACTTGCAAGCCTCCTGTCTCTGCCTGGAGGTGTTTCCTTCCCATAAAGTGTGAACTGTGTGTGCTGGTTAACATGCAGAAGGAGGGTCTTCCCTGATTGGACAGCTGGTTTGATGCCACGCTGCCATAGTCACTGAATACTCCTGTAAGGGCAGGAAGCCCAAGCCTTGATTGTTCAACGGAGAACAAAAACATCTGTAGAATGTGAGTGGTCAAGTCAGCTTACAAGGTTATTTCCTGTTCCTTTCACTCAGAATTCTTAATCTGAATCTGTTCTGTCTCGCGCAAAGGAGAATAAGGGGGGACATGATCCAGGTATATAAGATTCTTACAGGTGCTGTTCAGCCAAATGGCTACTTCAATATTAGTTTAAATACTAGAACTTGTGGCCATAGGTGGAAATTAGAGGGAGAACATTTTAAACTGAATTTGAAAAAACATTTTTTTTACACAACGTGTAGTTAGAGTATGGAATAATCTTCCTGCTAGTGTAGCGCAAGCTAAAACCCTGGGTTCCTTTAAATCAGAGCTAGATAAGATTTTAACAACTCTAAGCTATTATTTAAGTTCTCCCCAAACGAGCTTGATGGGCCTAATGGCCTACTCTCATTTGTAAATTTGTTATATTCTTATGTTCTTAACCCTTTCAGGCTCAAATTAAGTTTTAGTAACGACAGGACAACCAAGTCCTGCAGTGGTACTTCTGAGTAAAAAAAAACTCATAAAATATGTATGTGGGGTAATAAGGTAGTTAGTTTTTAACTGTTGCAAATCAGCAACGCCTGCCTTGAGAGGGTTAATACCTTTTTAGTCCTTTTTGGGCAGTAATTTTAACAGTTTTTCATTGATAAGGCATTCAGTCTGGATGTCAGAATCTAATCCCCTTAAAAACATTTTTCTGCATGGTAATCGTGTTCAGGTATCAGCCACAGACACAGATTGCACTCAGCAAGCCAGAGGAATGCTAAAATCCCTGCAGCTTTGAGCTTAAGCAAGAGCCATTTGTGGGGAACAACATCAAAGGCCTTCTGGAAATCTAAGTAGATCACATCGTAGGCCTTTTTATGATCAATTTCTCTTGTATCTTCCTCAAAGAACTCAAATAAATTCGTTAAACAGGATCTACCTCTCCTAAATCCATGTTGGCTATCCCTCAGAATGCTATTTGCATCCAGGTAATCTACCATTTTCACTTGAATTATAGCTTCCATTATTTTTCCAGTAACGCTAGTTAAACTGATTGGCCTATAATTTGCTGGATTACTTCTATCCCCTTTTTTGAATATGGGGGTTATATTAGCATGCTTCCAATCAGAAGGTACCACACCCGCAGATAACGATTTCTGGAATAATAAAGTTAAAGGTTGGCTAATGATATCCCTCATCTCTTTTAAAACTATAGGTAAGATGCCATCAGGGCCCTGTGATTTGTTTATTTTGAGCTTATCTAGGCTTAGTACCACATCAGCCTCAGTTATACATATATTGGTCAATGACAGCACTGTATTCGTACTAAATGGTGGTATGTTACTCATGTTCTCTACTGTGAACACCCGTGTAAAATAATCATTAAACTCATTTACTATATCAATTTCGTTTTCAATTATAAGGCCCTTACTATCCTGCAAATTAGTGATTTCAGCTTTTAGAGCTCTTTTGGAGTTAAAATATTGGAAGAAACTTTTATTGTCATCCTTAGCCTCCAGTGCAGTTTTTCTTTCTACATTCTTCTTAGAGATTCTAATGTTGTTTTTTAACTCAACTTGTAGATTTAGATACTCCTGCTTAGTTTTGAAATCATTAGTTAATTTTCATTTGTGGAAGAGAGCCCTTTTCCTTCTGACTTTATTCTTAATTTCCTTAGTAAACCACCTTGGTTGTAGTTTCCTAGATTTAGTTTTGCTGGAAACAGGTATGAAGTCCTCTTGCACTTGCAACAATGTGCTTTTAAAAAATCCCCATTCCTCTTCAACTGTTTTGCAATTTAACTCCATTCAGTTTAAAGTTTCTAGTTTCAGTCTCATATCATTAAAGTTAGCCTTCCTAACATTGTATGGTTTTGTTTTGGACTTTGCTCTTCAGAAACTAAAATTAACCTTGAATTTAACCATGCTATGATCACTACCGTCCAATGGTTCTAAAACCTTTAATTTTCCAGTCCTATCCTGGTTATTAGAGAAAACAAGATCAAGAAGGGCTTCTCCCCTGGTAGGGGTAGTAAGAAGAGCCAGAGTTTGTGTCCCACTGTATCCCAGGTAAATTAAAATCACCCATAACCACCACATTTTTATTACTCGTAATCCTGATATAGTCATATAACATTCCGCTTTCCTCTGCAGCTATATTAGGTGCTCTATAACAAACCCTGACAATTAGGCCATTTGAGTCTTTAGCATCAAGTTTTATCCATACAGCTTTTGTACTTTTATTTTTATCAGTGAGCTCCCTTGCCTGCAAGTTTTCTTTTACGTATACTGCAACACCACCTCCCTTCTTGCCTATTCGGTCTCTACGGAACAATGTATAACCATCAATATTATATTCTTCACCATCATTGTCACTCATCCATGTTTCAGTTATTCTTATAATGTCGTAAGTGTCTGATGAAATTAAAGCCTCTAAATGATTAATTTTGTTTCTAATACTCCTAGCATTTAAATAAAGACCACAAATGGTAGGCCTTTTACAGTGCCCACTTTTAATATTTTTTTGGGCTTTCCATCTCTCCCCACATAAATTCGTAACTAACCTCCCTGCCCCCCCAGTCCCTAGTTTAAACATTCCTCAACTACTCTACACATACGCCTCCCCAATACACTGGTTCCCCTATGATTCAGATGCAACCAATCCGGCTTGAACAGGTCCCACCTGTTCCAGAAGGTCTTCCAGTGCCCCATAAACCTAAACCCCTCTTTCCTACACCACCATTTTAGCCACGCATTTAATCCTCTTATCTCAGCTAACTTAGCCTGACTTGCACGTGGCACAGGAAGTATTCCAGAGAATACCACCGTGGATGTTCTGCTTCTAAGCTTATCCGCGACTTCTATAAATTTATCTTGCAGAACAGCCCTTCTGTCCTTTCCTATGTCATTGGTGCCAACATGCACCACGACCACTGGATTCACCCCGGCTGGGGCCAAAAGCCTGTCCACTCGATTCGGAAGGTCCCCTACCTGGGCACCAGGCCGGCAAGACACCGTACGGGACCCTCTATCACGGATGCACACATTAATATCTACACCTCTAATAATTGAATCCTCTACTACCACAACCTCCCTCCTCCTGGGGGTAGGCGGCTCCTTGGTGCCTATGGGCCCACCTGCCTCCCCAGTCTCTTCTGGCTCTAAAGCTGGAAGCACCTGAAAGCGGTTAGACACGTCACTTCAGGTGATGGTGCCTCTGTGAACTGTGTACGCCCTTTTCTACGTCTATGACCTACGTTCACCCAGCTCTCTCGACCTACCTGTTCATCATTCTCCCCCCTCCCCACTTGTGACATAGACACAGTCTCCCTAAAAGGCGTACTAGGTCTCTCCTTTAACTCATTGCTGTGTTGGATGAGAGCCAGTTGCTCCTCGAGGTCACAAACCTTGACCGTGAGTGAGTCTACTAACTTACATCACTCGCAGATGAAGTCCGAGTGGACAGAAGCATCCAGAAGGGCAAACATCTTGCAAACACAACACTGAGCTGGCCCCATAATTACCTAACTCACTCCTTTACTCCCAGCCCAGTATATTAATATAGCGTATTTAAACTTTTAGTTGATCTAATTAACGTATAGTTAAAACAATAAAGTGCTGAGTACAATAAAACACTAAATTAACACTTGCGTTAAATTGGAACTTTTTTTTATAAATTATCCGACAGCGTCAGCGATAACAACCTTAAAATTAAACTTTTAAAATAAATTAACAATTACTTATCCGAGACTAACTTCCTGCTGAACCACGTTTAGCTAAACTAAAGCAAAATTGCTCTAGGGAGGCCCCCAATAGAGTCTGGCTGCAGATCCACTGAGACTCACGTCCACTGAGACGCAGGAAGTGACATCACGTCCACTGACACGCAGGAAGTGACATCACTAATTCACTGAGGCGCAGCCATAGATATCTTCTATGATACATTCTACTTTTAGTTCATTTAAAAATGGTTCGCAGTTATCACTTGTTTGTATGCATATAGTCGTCCCTCGCGGCTTCACTCCATCGCGGTTTTTTGTCTATTGATTAAAAAGTTGATCGAGACAATGAAAATGATACATCGCTACGCATCGGAAGCATATTTGCTCTTCGTAATTAGATGTATAATAATAACAATTATAACGTCTAATATTTATCTTCTATTATTTTTTCTAATATTTTGGGTAATACAAGTGTAATTTTCATGACCTACCTGTCCAATCCTCTTGTGTGCCACGCCCCCTTATTAACCACATATGCAACCCTGATTGTGACCAGTTGTTTTCTGTCAATTTGATTCTGTTTCTGTCAGTGTCTATAACCCCAGGTCTGTCGTTGACGTTTTGATGTTACATGTTCCTGTCCCGC